GCAGGTTTCATTTCGAAGATACTATGAGCCCTATAATGACCAAACTTGCATGGATGGTACATCTTAGGATGCATTCTACTAGACTTGCTTCGGATGCGAATCTGACCTACATTTTCCGGTTAAGTGAACAGGTTAAAGTTTTTGGTGCAGGTTTCATTCCCAAGTTTCTATGAGACATATAATGACCAAACTTGCATGGATTGTACATCTTAGGATGCATACTACCAGTCTTGCTTCGGATGCTGAATCTGACCTACATTTTCCGGTTGAGTGAACAGGTTAAAGTTTTTGGTGCAGGTTTCATTTCCAAGTTACTATGAGACATATAATGACCAAACTTGCATGGATGGTACATCTTAGGATGCATATTACAAGACTTGCTTCGGATGCTGAATCTGACCTACATTTTCCGGTTGAGTGAACAGGTTAAAATTTTTGGTGCAGGTTTCATTTCCAAGGTACTATGAAACCTATAATGACTAAACTTGCCTGGATGGTACATCTTAGGATGCATACTACCAGACTTGCTTCGGATGCTGAATCTGAAGTACATTTTCTGGACGAGTAAACAAGTTAAAGTTTATGGTGCAGGATTCATTTCCAAGTAACTTTGAGCCCTATAATGACCAAACTTGCATGGATGGTACATCTAAGGGTGCATTCTACTAGGCTGGCTTCAGAAGCTGAATCTGACCTACATTTTCCGAATTAGTGAAAAGGTTAGTTTTTTTATACAGGTTTCATTTCCAAGTAACTTTGAGCTCTATGTTGAACAAACTTGCATGGATGATACATCTTAGGATGCACACTAATGGACTTGCTTCAGATGCTGAATTCTACATACATTTTCCAGATAATAGACCTCGTAAAAGTTATGAGTGCAGGTCTATCACCAAGAAACTATAAGGCTTATATAAACTAAAGTTGCACAAATGATGCATCAAGGGATGAAAACTCTCAATCTTGCTTCAGATGCTGGATTTTAATTACATTTTTATGATGAAGAACTAGTTTTAAGTTTTTATATAGGTCTATTCCAAAGTATCAAAGATGCTTAATTTGGATTTTAAACATTTTTATGCTCTGTATACATTGTAGTAGATTAAGGCAATTTTAAAATCTTTGATTATTTAAAAACTGCCAAAGAATGAAATCAAAATACATGCTTGTGATTTTTTAAAGATTGTCCTGTATATTGTTGGCACTATGCAGAAACAAATACTCTTGTTAAAAAAAAAAGTAATTTGAAGGGTATTAGTAGACATTATGAAACTTAAATTTTTTCAGCCATCGTACCGGTGTTACTGGATGCTCTACAGGAACCGGCCAAGAAGACCCTAGTCTGTCTACAGACCCTGCTGGAGACTAAGTTTGTCCACTTTATTGATGCCCCCTCCCTGGCTCTTATCATGCCAGTAGTGGAGAGGGCATTCCAGGACAGAAATACAGAGACCAGAAAAATGGCAGCTCAGATTATAGGAAACATGTACTCTCTGACAGATCAAAAGGTAATTAAAGAGCAATTTTTATATAAACTATTTGGTAGACAATGTAAAGTACCGGTAAAAGCTTTAAAAATCTTTACATGGGCCTGTGGGGTGTTGAAAAAAGGACAGTGCAAAGAGCATTTCAGATGAAGCCTGGATCATTGGCATGAAGCCAGATAAAATGCATGTATTTTCATTGCAGATCAGAGCATTTTCTAAAAATTACACGAGGAAAAGATGACGTCAGTTTTCATATTTTCTATTTCGATGCTGAAATTTTCTGATTAAAATCAAATCATATGTTGTTCATAACTGTAAATTTCTGTTATTGTTGCCTTCTTCATATTTTTTAAGCCCTGCAATATTTTAAGTAAAATCTTTTCAAAATTATGATCTGTTGTAAAACTTATATTCATGTATCTATTTTTTTTAATCTATGAAAAATTGAATCTATTGGATGTGTAAGATACTGGATGATAGATTCATATTTCTACAAACTGATCAAACTCCATTACAGGACTTGGATCCTTACATAGAGAAGGTGATACCTGGTCTGAAGCAGTCCTTACTTGACCCCGTACCGGAGGTGAGGACAGTGTCCTCTCGCGCCCTCGGTGCTATGGTGAAGGGAATGGGAGGAGCTAAGTTTGACGAGCTGCTGAACTGGCTGATGGAGACGTTGAAGTGTGAACAAAGCTCTGTGGATAGATCTGGAGCTGCCCAAGGTGACTTTATTGTAAAATTTATGCATTATGTGTACATTGCATCTGTAATGCATTGTGTTTCTGATCTTGCACTCATACACAAAATGCTCTAAATTTACATTTTCTTTGGTTCTTTGGGCAAGAAAAGGTTTTTAAAAAATTAAGTCAACAAAGTTGAATTAACTCTGATGTTGCAATATGATTGCAGGATTGAGTGAGGTGATAGGGGGACTGGGTGTACAGGAGCTCCATCGCCTGATGCCTGGGATTATCCAGACCGCGGAGAGGAATGACATCCCCTCCCATGTCAGGGACGGTTACATCATGCTCTATATTTATCTCCCAGCTGTGTTTGAGAAAGACTTCCTGGACTACATTGGACCCATTATTCCTTCTATTCTAAAGGTACGGTTGTGATGAAAGGTAAAAAGAAGTTATGTTTCAAGGATGAAAGAATACTGAGTATTTAAATACATTGTTAATTTGGTCTGTGTCTTGATGGAAGTTGGCTTCATCTTCTTGAATGTTAAACTTTCTTTTAAAAAATTTCTGTCATACTTTGATGTCAAAATGGCAGCTTTTTCCTTTATTTATTTTAGACTCTGTTTATGTCAGAATAGATATTTCTATGTTCTTTTATCAACGATTATCGATTAAAACAGATTTAACTAGGAAAGTTTTATAAATTCCAGGCTTTGGCCGATGAGTCTGAGTATGTGAGGGACACGTCTCTGAGAGCGGGCCAGAGAATCATTAATCTGTACGCTGACACAGCCATAGAGTTACTGTTACCCGAGCTAGAGAAAGGCTTGTTTGATGACAACTGGAGAATCAGATTTAGCTCGGTCCAGCTGCTGGGAGATCTACTTTACAAGATCTCAGGTAGGCCTTAGATAAAGAAGGATTGAGAACCTACAAATCTGGGCCAATTGAATGTTTTTATGTTTGAGGGTTGATGTTGATTATTTATTGATGGTGATGTGTTGATTTTATTCTTCTGTCAGGTGTGTCGGGTAAGATGTCTACAGAGACAGCTCACGATGATGATAACTTTGGAACTGAAAACTCTCAGAAGGTCAGTAAATTAAACTTAGCTGTCACAGGAGAAAATTCACAGAACATTATCTAGAAGTATTTTCCCATATCTATTATGGAGAAGTCTTGAATACTTTTCTTTTTTTTTGTGTAGGTCATCCTGAGAGCCCTGGGTCGTGAGAGACGTGACAGAGTGTTGGCAGGGCTGTATATGGGGCGTTCTGACACTGCCCTCCTGGTCCGTCAATCGGCCCTTCATGTGTGGAAGATCATTGTGGCCCACACTCCCATGACTCTCAAGGAGATCCTCCCCACACTTTTCTCTCTCCTCCTAGGCTGTCTGGCCAGCACTAGTCATGACAAAAGACAGGTAAGACAAGGGTTTGAAAATGCTAAGCATGTGATTTTGTTTTATAGAATTTTCATTTGAGTATACTGTAAAATTACAGATTTTTGTAAGAGCAAATTTTTGATGTTTGAGAAAAGAATTATTGATTTGTGGGGATTGGATTTCGTGGTTGGAGAAGTGTTGAGTAGTAATGCATTTGAAATTTTATATTTCTGACTCTTTTCAAAAAGATTCATTCGAACACTCTTTGTTTGAACTAGTTTTTAATTCCACGACTATACATATTTTGGTTGTATATCGTCCCCCATACTCGAAAGCCCATCCAATGTCTACGGCGAAATTCTTTGACGAATTTACACCCTTTCTTGAAGAAATATTGTCAACCCATCGCACGGTTATAATTACAGGAGACTTTAACATTCATTATAATAAAACTAATGACTTAGACACGATCGCTCTAAATGAAATGTGCAATGACATGGGTTTAGTGCAACTTGTCAACTGCCAAACGCATCGATCTGGAAACATACTTGATCTGATCATGATATGAAAAAACGACAAAATAGTGTTGTCCGAACCGACCGAAAATTTTCAGATAAGTGACCACTGTTTCATTCATACATATATATCTCTTCCTAAGCCTAAGGTAACAAGGGAAATCAGAAAAGTTAGAAAACTAAAGGACATAGATGAAATGCAATTTCAGGCGGATCTAATCCAATTCAACGAAAGTGCCACCAAATATGAAAATTTAGAAGATACAGCAAAGTTTTACAATTCAGAACTCAGAAATATTTTAGATAAACATGCTCCGGAAAAAGAGAAAATTGTCACTATTCGACCTTCCCTACCATAGTTTACAGAAGAATCGCGTCTTCTTAAAACACGTTGCAGGTCAGCGGAACGAAAATGGAGAGGAAACAAGACCCTGGATAATGACCACGCCTTCCGATGTGCTAAACGAGCCTACAGGAAAAATCTCAGATACAACAGGTATCAATATATTAACTCCAACATAGCCGAATGTGGAAATGGTTCTTCAAAAATGTATAAATTAATATTTGGATTGATTGGCAGAAAAAACTGCAATCCTATGCCGCTTAACGCCAGTGATGCATCACTGGCGGAGGAATTCAGTCCTTCTTTATGGATAAAATTTTAGCCATTCGCAACAGTTTAGATGATTTTGAAAAATTTGACCCAAACCTCGGACTTAAATGTAGTTTAAAAAGAGTTTAATACCTTTGTTCCAGTTTCAGATGAGGATGTTTTACGTGTGATTAAAAGTTCAAAGCCCACTACCTGCCCAACTGACCCAATCCCGTCAAAATTAATCAAACAATTTTCTGATGTGTTATTGCCAACAATTGTTTTCATAGTTAATAAATCACTAACATCTGGTTTATTCGCTAATGAATGGAAAACTGCTATAGTTCGACCCCTGTTAAAAAAAAGTGGTTTAGATGTGATTTTGAAAAACTACCGTCCTGTAAGTAATTTAAGTTTTATATCAAAAATTGTGGAAAAATGTGCTCTGAACCAATTTATGAAATATCTGGAATCAAACAGATTACTACCTAGCTATCAAAGTGCATATAGAAGAGGGTTCAGTACCAAAACAGCTCTCCTGAAACTGTCATCAGACATTCTGTGGAAAATGGAAAAACAGGAAGTTACTGCCTTAGTCGCATTGGATCTCTCTGCTGCATTCGACACAGTCGACCATGCCATACTTAGCAACGTGTTAGAAACTACTTTCGGAGTATCTGAAGTGGCTCTTCATTGGTTTCAATCATACCTTTCGTTCAGGAAAGCTGAAGTGCATATCAACACGTCTAAGTCACAGCCTAGATGTCTGGACTTCTCGGTGCTGCAAGGCAGCATATGCGGACCTGTGTTATATACCGTGTACACGAGTACGCTACAACATTACATCAAAGATTCAGGTGTGTCATTATTAGGTTACGCAGATGACCACTCTGCATACGACAGTTTTAATCCGAAGATTTTCGCTGATGAGAAACATGTAACAACAAATTTAGAAAAAGTATTGGTTACTATCAATGACTGGGTGAATCTGAATAAACTAAAACTTAACCCTAGTAAAACTGAATTTGTACTATTTGGCAGTCAACAGATGTTATCTCTATCATCTTCCATTTCCCTTAATGTAGTGGATACGGATGTTAATTCATCTCCTTGTATCAAATATCTTGGATGTTATCTGGACGAAAATTTAACTTTCAAAAAATTTGTCAGTGAAAAATGCAAAACAATTTCATTGAATTTGTACTTGATTAAACAAATTCGCCAATATCTTAGTGATGATTCGTGTAAACAAATTGTACAGTCCCTTGTCACTAGTCATTTAGATTATGCAAATAGTGTCTTGTACGGATTGCCAGAGTGTACCATTAAAAGACTATAGTTGTTGCAAAATCGTGCTGCAAAGCTTGTGTTGAAGCTGAGGTCTACGGATAGTTCTACTGAAGCACTCAAACGACTACACTGGCTACCGGTACACTACCGCATTAAATTCAAACTTGCATGCATTGTCTTCAAGTGCATTAACGTCAGTGACAGCCCACAGTATCTTAAAGAAATGCTCAGTTTACGAACATCATCATATGGCATTCGATCCGTAAATCCTGCAGCGAAAACATTGAACGTCCCGTCCATAAGACGCAAAACTTTTGCCTCTAGGTCTTTCGCGGTAGCTGGACCTTCGATTTGGAATGAGTTGCCAACAAACGTTCGAATGTTAACTGATTTCTGTATTTTTAAACGACATCTCAAGGCGTTCTACTACACATGTGCTTTTAAATAACATTTAATTGTGAACACTAGTATATTTTATTTAAACAGCCAGTGATCATTTAGACTTTATTTGATATTTTAACATATGCATTGTTTTTTATCATATGTATATATTCTATTGTTTGTACAGCGCCAATGATTGCATACTATATGTAAAATTGAGCGCTTTAACAAATTTTTTTAATAATAATAATATATTTGGTGGTGGTCATGAATTTGTGGATTGACCATACCTTGAAAACAACGAAAATTAAACCCCACAAAAATATGTGATTTCACAGTACACAAATTAATAAACTGAATTTCTGTCCTAATTTGTGTTATCAATTTTATTTGTATGTTAGGTGGCAGCTCGTACACTGGGTGACCTGGTGAAGAAGTTAGGCGAGCGAGTCCTGCCTGAGATAATCCCGATCCTGGAGAAAGGTCTGGACTCGGACCGAGCGGACCAGAGACAGGGAGTCTGTATCGGACTGTCCGAAATCATGAAGGCCACCAGCAGGGAGCATGTAAGTGACCACATAGACAAAACAATATTTATGTTCCCACATCTTAAGATAGGGTCTTTCAAAAGACTTACATTTGAATAGATCATCATTCTGGAATTTAAAGATTCACTGTCGTAGTATTAAATAGAAAAAAGTTTTTATATTAAGAAATAATTTTGTGTTTCTCTTAGTTGAATCTTTTGATTGGGAAACAATTAATAAATGAATTAATTTTTTTCTTTGTCTGTGCTAGGTCTCGGTGTATGCTGACAGTTTGGTGCCCACAGTCAGGAGAGCATTGACTGATGAGTTACCAGAAGTCAGGGAGGCAGCAGCAGAAACATTCGACAATCTCCACTCCAACATCGGCCAAAGGGCTCTGGATGAAATCCTGCCTCTCCTTCTTAAACAGCTGGTATGTTGCTTTACCCCAGCTCAATTTATTTGGCATGCATGTATGCTGGTAATTGCATCTTGTGTCAACTTTTAGAGAGCTGAAGAATAATTCTGTGTTCCAAAATTGGCATCAGAGAAATACATGTAATAAATTTTTACAGGATGATGAAGAAAAGTCAGATTCAGCTTTAGATGGGTTGAAACAAGTAATGACTGTGAAGAGTAGAGTGGTCCTGCCATATCTTGTTCCACAGGTAATTACTAAAACTGCCAGTTTAATATTGTAAGATACATACTGTATAGTATTGTAATGAAAAAAGTTTGTGTGGAAGTAGAGTAGTCTGAATTGAGTTATGGCCCTTGCCACCTTGCTAATCATACTTATGTAGCTGACCATGGGAATTTCCAATCCTGCACCAGGCACTATAGCATCCACACGAAGGTTTCTCATGCAGTGCCTGGGAGAACCTTTTTCTGGTTTCCCCACCCCTCCTTTACGAGGGCCCCCTGCTAGGAGGTTGTATGGCCTCAGTCTCAGACCTTCCCCTGGGTGTTAATGAGTGAGAGATCCACTCTTGTGTGTCACCCAGTAAGCAAGCATTACCACCACACAATGAAGTAATGTAGTAATATGCGTATTTATAGTGGGATTTAACAAATGATTTTAAACAAAGTGTTTTTATATACTTTTGCAAATTCAACTTTTATTTTTCAGCCTATAGACAAATGTATTACAGCAGAAGTTTTCATATCATAAAAATTCTTTTCTTGATTTTGATTCGGGTTAAATACCACAAAATATACTTTAAATTTTGTGCCATTTTTGTTGTCATAATGCATTTTAAAGAAAGACAACTCTAGCAAACATTAACTTACAAACAGTTTCTTTCAGAGTTATTTCCCTTTAAACGGTCATCCAGATTATGCATATCTAGGAAAAATAAACATACTGATTTAATTAAATTGTTTTATCCATTTCCAGTTAACAGCGCCTCCGGTAAATACTCGAGCTTTATCGTTCCTGTCGTCAGTGGCTGGCGATGCCTTGACCAGACATCTGTCCAAAATCCTGCCAGCTCTTTTGTCATCTCTTAGTGGTAAAATGGACACTCCAGAGGAAGCAGAGGTATCTTATTCTTTCTTCTAGAAAACTTTTGTTCCTCATTATGTTTGTAAATACATTTTATTTGGAGTTTTTAAAATAAATTTTTTTTTACAGATTTCTTTCAAATTGTGGTTTTAGAAATGTATACTCGTAACTTGACTGTTTTATCATAATTGAGGTTAACAAATTCATTTCCCAATTTGATAATTCTGTTTCATCTGTTTTTGCAGGAGATAGGTTACTGTCGTACGGTAGTATTGTCGGTGACTGATGACGTGGGCGTGAGAACGATTATGCAGGAACTTCTTAGTGCCTCCCAATCCCCCACTAACAGCGAGTGCTGGAGCGCCGTCGTCATCCTCCATACCTTCTGTGAGAAATCCAGCGCTGATTACTCAGATTATCTCCCCCAGTTGTTCCGCGGACTGATCGCTCTGTTTACGAGGTCCTCAGATAGAGTGTTACATGCAGCCTGGGATTGTCTCAATGCAGTCACGAAGGTGGCAAATTAAAAATTATGCATTTTCTATAATGGAAATTTTTTTGATTGAAAAAATATTAGGGTTAAACTTTTGAACGATGGAAAAGAAAGACTTAATTTTATAAATTTCTCATTTCTCAATGGATTTTTGTTCTTTTCTGTGTGAGCAATAAGCAAAATTTATTTTAATACATTTTTTTTTTTTAAGAAGTCCCCTGTAGAAAGTACATTGTCTGCAGATAAGCAATGTACTATTTTCATTTTGTTTTTAATTTAAAGATAATTAAAATAGAGAAAAGGGGAATAATGCTTATTATTGATTGTTTGGGTTTTATAATTATTGCAAAGAGTAGATATTAGGAAAATAAAAACCCATCAAGATGTACTAATGTTGTATACTTAATCTCTCAGTGACTGTCAATTTTTTGGCAGAATGATGTAAATTTTTGTTTTTTATTTTATTTTTAGAAAATTGATGCCACAGAAATGTTTCAACACATCGCAGATGTCAGACAAGCTGTTAGATATGCAATGTCAGACTACAAAGGAAAGGAATTACCTGGATTTAGCTTGCCAAAGAAGGTATTTCTGTACTTAGAGTTATCCTTCTTTGCAATGAAGCTATAGCTATTTGAAGTGTGTTGAGCGAGTACTCTCCCTTTGATGAAAAAACAAATATTTATATTAAATTTATTTTATTTTTGTTTTAAAATTTAATTTTCATATTTTATTTTATACTGTTATGTTTATTATACATTATATTTGTAATATTCAATAGAACTTTTCTTTAAGTGTTCAAGATTTTGAAGTAAATTATCTTTTACTTAAAAGCAACTATAACACTTTGTCAACTGTAAATTTTAAGAACAAGTAGACACTCTTCGCATGCTCATGACCTTGACAGCCCGAATTGACCTTGTTCGGGCAATTCTTTGCAGACCTGTAACAACCTCGGTTAACGCAGGTTACTCATTAATTATCATAGTAGGAATATGTTCAATCTCTCACCTAATAAGACTCTTCTATTGAACATCAGTCTAGTCAAGAGTGTATACTGACTGCACCTCAAATGTTTTTAATTAGTATCTAATCCATATATTTCAAATAAATGAATGTCAAAGGCAAAACTTGAAAGATTTAAAAGATTAATGCTGATTTGTGATTGCCTTAGTTTAAATGATATTTACAGAAATTTATTTTTAGGGAATTGCACCAGTGTTGCCAATCTTCAGAGAGGGCATTTTGAATGGCTCTCAGGAAATGAAGGCTCAAGCAGCTGATGGATTAGGAGAATTAATAAATATCACCAGTGCAGAAGCACTTAAACCATCCGTAGTCAACATCACAGGTCCTCTCATTCGTATCCTTGGTGACAGGTTTACCTGGCAAGTGAAGGTGGCTGTTCTCGAAACTCTGACTCTACTCCTGGCTAAGGTTTGTAAATCTTCTCAACAGGTTCTTTTTTTAGTGTGAAAGTTTACCAATGAAATGAATTTTCTAGATTTAAAAATATTTTGGATCCCAGAATATTTAGCAATCATCTAATTTTGGCATTATTAGCAATGGTTTTAGTATTGCAAAAATTAAGTATTTTTAAAAATTCAACCATGAATATTCTAAACAAAAAAAGAAAGTTATCTCTAAAATTGCCAATAATTAACTACGCTAAAAGTAATTGGCCACTTTTTAAGTAAAATCGCTAACTTTGTTGGTCACTAATATTGTTTGAACACTTTTTTTAAACTGTTTACATTTTTAATTGAATATTTTAGGTTGGTGTGCAGCTGAAGCCGTTTTTACCACAGCTACAGACCACGTTCTTGAAAGCCCTGAATGACCCCCAGCGACAGGTCCGCCTCAAGTCAGCGTCCGCGTTAGGGAAACTGACGGTTATTCATACAAGGGTGGACCCACTGTTCACAGAACTTCACTCAGCTGTAAAGAATGCTTCAGACCAGAGTGTCAAGTCAGTGGAAGTCTATACTTAATCCAGATACCTGCTAGCTGTTATCTTATTTATAGTGTCATAAGTAGGGACTTATAATTTCTTTATTCACAAAATCATATGTTCATACCCACATATAATATATGGAAAGTGTTTAGCCTTTCTACATGTAAAAATGAAAATGCTGTATCAGAAAATTTTCAGTTATCACTTTTTAAGTTATGTTGAAGCTGAACAGCAGTGTATTCTGCAAAAATATACCTGTATAATACATGTATTTATAAGCTGATCATGCAAGATTGGATTTGGCAGGTTTAACACTTTCAATGCAATGGCAATGACAAAGAGTATTTCACAAATTAAATTTTGAACCAAAACGGTCATTGATATTTTTCTCTGTAGGGACACCATGCTTCAGGCCCTGAGGTTTTGTATCTGTGGAGCAGGAGAGAAAATGTCTGATGCTTCCAGAAAGGGAATTATGGGAACTTTAGTAGGAATGCTGGGAGTGCAGGAGGAATCCACTCGAACTGCAACCTCGGGCTGTGTGGGATCTATGTGTAAAATCTTGCCAGAGGAAGAATTGACTGAACTCATGATTCAACAGTTATTAGGTCAGTAAACATAAGATAACCCTTGGTATTTTTTGAACTCTATGAGATTAATAAAGACTTAAGATATCTGATTGTTCAAGATTTTTATAGTAAGAACTCAAACAAAAATTGTAAATAGAATCAACTCAGGGTGACTTATCTCTAATATTCTTTAGATAACTGAAGTTCAATTGTAGCATTGATAGACATGTGTATTTCTTTAGTTTTGAATATTCAAAACTTTTCCCGACATTGTGGTTGGAGATATTTTGGAGATATTGTAATGGAGACCCTGTTTTTGAATTGATTTTAGCCTGTTATGGTGAATTTTATTTTTTTTGTAAATTAGATACCGCTGAGAGTGGCGCTGACTGGACACTGAGACATGGGAGAAGTCAGGCGTTAGCGGTGGCCCTCAAGGAAGCCGCACCAAAGATCTGGACCTCCACCTTCCAATCCAGCATTGTCAAGTGTCTGTCGGGACTTGTTGACTCAGACAAGGTCTCTTTTACTCCTTCATTCATATATAAACAGTAGCTTTGTTCATTTTATTTTTTAAATAAAGAGATAATGGGAAAAACAGGAAGAAGTTACATAAGTTTGGCCTAGCAGAATTGTTTGACATAACTAGCTGACTGTTCATTGATTTACAGGTACCTCTGTGTCAGAGTGGGTTGAGAGGGTTAGGATATGCCTTGTTGTATCAAACCAAGTCATCTGATGTTGACACTGAACTAGTCAGTCTGCTCATCAAGGTAAACTTACAGATATCCAGTATGTAGGGATGGTTTTAATGGGTAAAAAGAAATATATTCTATTCATAGTCAGAGGTTACATAAATGATGAAGAAATATTCTGAAATAAAAATTAAATTAATTCTTACCATGAAGATTTTTAGAATTCAATTTTATCATAAACTGTTGCTTTCAGTTGTTGATTTTAGTTTATATGCACTTGTTTCATGGATTATTGTGACTTCGCAAGTACCTGTTCAAAACCTGATTTTGATATACATGTTCAACAAATAAAACAAATTAAAAATTTGCCTTTTATTTACAGGGATTAAAGAAGGACTCCAATGACATTAAGCTGTTGGTTACCCAGGTCTCCTCCCTGATAGCCAGTGATGACACGCCCCTCCCGATGTCGGCCATTAAAGTCCTCGTCCCGGCCCTAGTAATGGGCACCAAAGAGAAGAACACGATGGTCAAGTCCAGCAGTGAATATGCCCTCATCTCAGTGCTTAAACTCAGAAAGGGGGATACTCTCCTCAATGTAAGCAAGCTTATTGAAGGAAATGGGAAGTAACTGTGTTTTGTTAAAATACTGTTTTATTTCCATGACAGAATGACTGAAAGTGCATCTTTTAATTGGTTTTAATTGTTAAATAGGAAAATTATTTATTTTGTGTACCATGTGATATAAATTTAAATTTTCAAAATTGGTACTGCAGTAAGTTATTAGATGTTTTCTCTGATTCAACCTTTGTTGGACCTTTTGCAGCAAACACTTGCAGAACTGGATGTTGGAATGAGAGAGTCTTTGAGTGATGTGGTTACAAAATCCCTAAACAAACTCTGTAAACAACCTGAGCCACCATTGGATGAAATAGACGACACAATTCTAAAGTGAAATCACACGACTCCGAGCTGTCCAATCAAGTGTGTAGCTATGTTATGGCTGATGTCTGTTTCATCTTTAAATTATCAGCTTCAGAACAACACTTTTTTTTTTATGATTTCACTTTTTACATACATACATGAGTTTCATAATTTTGTTTTCCTTTTTTTTTTTTTGCTAATTATTTTGTTGAGATTCGGGGTTCAGATCATGCTAACAAATTTTCTCCATGTGTTTTGAAAGATTTTAAATTTTAGTTATAAACTTCCAAGAAATTTGGATTGTACTGTTGAGAGATTTTACAGTGTGCAGGCCAAATCTTACTCTAGAGTGTTTTCACAAAGGTCTGTTATTTGTACATGTATAAGATGTTTTCAATTGCTTTGATTTAGATTTACTTCAGATTTCTATGTTATAAGTACACTTGCTTGTAATAAAATGCTACAAAATAAGCACTATAAAGATGAATATATTTTGATTTAATACAAAGTATTTATTTGGTTGAAGACCTTTAAGGCCCGTTCTTAGTTTCTGCTGTTAAACAAACACAGTTAAAGGACTTTGATCGATTTGTATATCTCGAGTGTGTATATTTTTTGAACATTGGAAGTACACTTTTATCCTGTCAACCAATCTGTATTTAAAAAAAGAAACTGAGACTGTTAAGTCTTGCTTTGTAATGATTTTGTTTTGCTATTTTTCAGTTTATGTTTATTTTCATCAAAGTTGGTCTCCAGGATGTGCATAGTGTACTCAAGAAAATGATGAACACAATGTGTGAAATGTGAAACAAAAAATCATAGTGCTATATATGCATACTACATGTATGTCCATCATTGAAATAAAGCGATTCAATTATTTATCTCCTTTCTTTTTTAATCAATTATATGTATGGTATACTATTGAATTGTATGCTCCAGGGATGTTGAATTTGAATTGGTATACATGTATATACTGGCATTACCACCATGTTAAATAGATTTCTAGATATTGAATCAACATCCATTGATACAAATTGACTAACTTCTTACATAATTTAGATATTTTAGTTTGTATGATGTCTCACTTTGAATTCAATTAAAAGTACTGAATATAATTATACCCCTATCAGTCACTGCTTTACCCTTGTGTGTGTGTCTGTCTAACAAATTTTTGCACAATCGCATTTTTTTAGCTCACCTGAGTCGAAGGCTCAAGTTAGCTTTTCTGATCACATTTTGTCCGGTGTCCGTCTGTCTGTAAACTTTTCACATTTTCGACTTCTTCTCAAGAACCGCTGGGCCAATTTCAACCAAACTTGCCACAAAGCATCCTTGGGTGAAGGGGATTCAAGTTTGTTCAAATGAAGGGCCATGCCCTTATTCAAGGGGAGATAATTTGGAATTGATGAATATTTGGTGGTATCTTTTAAAAATCTTCTCAAGAACCACTGTGCCAGGAAAGATGAAACTTATAGGGAAACATCCTCAGGTAGTGTAGATTCAAGTTTGTTCAAATCATGACCCCAGGGGGTAGGGTGGGGCCACAATGGCCGACCAAAATTTTACATAGAAATATATAGGAAAATTTTTTAAAAATCTTCTTCTCAAGAATAACATAGCCATAATTGATCATATTTATATGGAAGCATCCTCAGGTAGTGTAGATTCAAGTTTGTTCAAATCATGACCCCCGGGGGTAGGGCGGGGCCACAATGGCCGACCAAAATTTTACATAGAAATATATAGGAAAATTCTTTAAAAATCTTCTTCTCAAGAATAACAAAGCCATAATTGATCATATTTATATGGAAGCATCCTCAGGTAAAGTAAATTCAAGTTTGTTCAAATCATGACCCCCGGGGGTAGGGCGGGGCCACAATGGCCGACCAAAATTTTACAAAGAAATATATAGGAAAATTCTTTAAAAATCTTCTTCTCAAGAATAACAAAGCCATAATTGATCATATTTATATGGCAGCATCTTCAGGTAGTGTCAATTCAAGTTTGTTCAAATCATGACCCTTGGGGTAGGGTGGGGCCACAATGGCCGACCAAAATTTTACATAGAAATATATAGGAAAATTCTTTAAAAACCTTCTTCTCAAGAATAACAAAGCCATAATTGATCATATTTATATAACAAAGTTTGCCATAACTGGACCAAAATTTTACATAGAAATATATAGGAAAATTCTTTAAAAATCTTTTGGCAAAACCATAACTGGTCAAAGGTTTACTTTTAGATTTAAACTTTTCAATAATAAACCAATTTCTACTTTTCTCCTAGCCACAGTGCTCAGGTGAGCGATGTGGCCCATGGGCCTCTTGTTCTGCAACTACTCATTGCAGATGCTTGAAATTTTAGCACATTCTTTTCTTTTGACATGCCATTTATATCAGAGCAGGTGCACAAGTGCTCCCCCACCCCACCCCAAAAAAAGTAGTCAAATGTTTTATGTTACCCACAGTATTCTCCATAATTAGTCATTTTAAAATATGAGCATACATGTATAGTCAGGTATACAAGTAGGTAAACTTTTTCTCAGTGTCAACTACTTTCAGTACCAATTTTAATACTACATTTTCGGTTAATCACTAAAAGTGAAGGGGGGGGGGGGGCAACCAGGCTTTCAATTAACATTTCCTATAGTATAAGTAAGGTTGGGAAAAAAAGTGGGGGGGGGGCAAGGCCCCCCCACCCCCCCCCCCCCCCCTGTTGCTACGCCCCTGATTATTTGCAAAACATTTTACAGCTTGACATATTTTTAGCTCACCTGAGCCGAAGGCTCAAGTGAGCTTTTCTGATCAAAATTTGTCCGTTGTCTGTCGTCGTTGTCGTTGTTGTTGTTGTTGTCGTCGTAAACTTTTCACATTTTCACCTTCTTCTCAAGAACCACTGGGCCAGGAAAGATGAAACTCATGTGGGATCATCCTCAGGTAGTGTAGATACACAGTTTGTAGAAAAAATACCCCCAACTTCCAAAATGGCCGAAAGTTTTACATAGGAATATATAGGAAAAATCTTTAAAAATCTTCTTTATAAAAAAAAAATAAACTTTTTGGGATCATTCTCAGGTAGTGTAGATTCAAGTTTGTTCAAATCATGACCCCCGGGGGAAGGGTGGGGCCAAAATGGCAGATCAAAGTTTTACATAGGAATATATAGGAAAAATCTTCTTCTCAAGTATAACTGGGCCAGGAAAGACAAACTCATGTGGGATCATCCTCAGGTAGTGTAGATTCAAATTTGTTCAAATCATGACCCCCGGAGGTAGGGTGGGGCCAAAATGGCCGATCAAAGTTTTACATAGGAATATATAGGGAAAATCTTTAAAAATCTTCTCCTCAAGAACCTTCGGGTCAGGAAAGATGAAACTCATGTGGAATCATCCTCAGGTAGTGTAGATTCAAGTTTGTTCAAATCATGACCCCGGGGGAAGGGTTGGGCCAAAATGGCCAAAGTTTTACATAGAAATATATTGGAAAAATCTTTAAAAAGCTTCTTCTCAAGAACCACTGGGCCAGGAAAGATGAAACTCATGTGGAATCATCCTCAGGTAGTGTAGATTCAAGTTTGTTCAAATCATGACCCCCGGGGGTAGGATGGGGCCAAAATGGCCGATCAAAGTTTTACTTGGGAATATATAGGAAAAACCTTTTAAAATCTTCTTTTCAAGTACTTCAAAGCCAGGCTTCGTTATATTTATAGGGAATCATCCTCAGGTAGTGTAGATTCAAGTTTGTTCAAATCATGACCCCCCGGGGGTTTCACATTGCCCCCCCCCCCCCCCCCCAGTTTACTTTCAGTTCTGATCTGATCTGTGTTTTTTTAGCCAATTGCTCAGGTGAGCAATGTGGCCCCTGGGCCTCTTGTTTTTTTTATTAGATTTGAGTCTAGAATGGATATGCACAAGCTAGAAAATAGTTTTAGCTTTGCAGAAATCTCTGGATAAAATCAGAGTATTACAAATGAATACACATGTAGAAAAAATACAACTTCCTTCTCGAAAGCATGAACATAATTTTATTCTTTATTAAAAAATAATCTTTTTTGAATAATCCCGCTCTGTCTTACTAGAAAATCCGAGAGACCCCGAATGATTTTATGAGCACGTGCACCTTAGCCAATGAGGGTCTTAGACACAAATATTACGCATTTCCGTTAGCTTTAACAAACATTATGATTGGACAATGAGTGAAAAATGGGCTTGTACATGTGACATTTTTGACGTCACAAGGAATCCCTCGGTTTTTCTTCGACATCTTAGCAGGTTCCCTATGCTACGTAAATTTTGGACATTTTTAACATAAAATACTATCATCGAAGCCGTCAAATGTAGTGATATGGCTGGAGTTTTTGACTTAGAATTACATGATACCCCAGAGGGGGACGAGGATATTTCCGATGACGAATTTTTTGAGCCAGAACTTGAGGTATGTTGTTACCGGTGTTTTCCATATTTCATCATCGTTCGTAACAGTTTCACATTGTCTTCGCAAGTCACCGTTGATCTTTTGATTGAAATTACAGTTGACTACAAGGAATTACACACCTAATAGCATGAAGTTGTAAAATTTATGGAAGATTGAAGTTTCATATTATGCTTTAAGCATTGTTGATGACCAAGCATTATTTTTAAAACATTTATTGATCTTGCTAAGCCCATATATATCTTTTTGATTGACAATTTTTGACTAAACTAGTGTACAATGAATATATCTAACACATACTATTACACTATACATAATTTAGTGTATTGATTCAAAGATACAATGTAAAACAAGAGAAGTGAGGTATGCCATGGTGTACCTATTAACCCCAAACAGCTGTTTATTACAGTCAAGTACACCCTCTAGAGTAGACTTTTAAATCGAATTGCCTACTATAATATTTATGTTAGATTGACGTACAGTACTACCAAGTCAATTCAGGCTTCTCTGTATCGGACCATGCTTAATTTTTTGTTAGTCAATGTTGAGTCACACCACGAATTCTCAGACTTTTAAAACCATGACATCAGCATTGATGTTTGACCATGTTACCATGCCAGGATTATTCAATCCAAGTTAAGTGTATAAAAGATATATACAGTCAACTTGTACTCTTAACATTGAAAGTTATCATTCTAATGCTATCCTTGACAAATTAACATATTGTACCATGATAAAATATTTTAATTCAAAGACATTGTGACTGGAAACTTAAGTAGAAAGTTGCTGAAGGAAGAATCGAACCCAAGACCTCTGGCTCTCCATCGCTAGTCAGGTGCTCTACTGAATGAGCTACTTAGGCCAACATTTTGGACCCAAACCACTTTGTTGCTTGAAACTTTTGACTTCTTACAAAAAATGCTAACTAGCTCATAAAGTCTGAACTCATAAGAAATGGCCAGCTCAAATCATAAACTGCTACATTGTGGCTTATTGAGAAGACATAATTATGATGAAAGCTAGGCTCTGACTAATTCAAAGCAAGATGAACTGATACAGAAGCAACTTGTCAACTAAGATGGCAGATGTTGGATATTATCAACTTTTACCATGGTTACATTTACTTATCAGAGACAGAATAATTACTACATGGGTGTATTTGTAATTACTTCTTATGGCATGTGGTAGTGACCTTACATCTGTTATAGAAAATTAGGATAAGTGCTTATATGAGAAGTGTATAGAAAATTCAGCAGAAATAAATGTATAGTTACTGATTTGCAGCCAAAGGTCAATCAAACCTGTCATGTAAGGTCAGAAAAGTAAATGTTTAGCTGGTTCTATTGTTCAAGGACTTCCAATGAGTGTTCATATACCGCTAGACTAGGTTTTCTGTTTCACAGTTGCCAAAGAGATTCTAGCTGGCAAGAGGAAGCAGTGTGCTTTGGGAGTCCAGAGGCACACAGGTTTTCAGTGATGAGATTGACATTGCTATGGGTACCTTATGAGTATCATGGAACTATTAAACATGTCTGATTCTGAGGGGAAAGGAAGATATGATTTTGAAGGTTGTTTCAATATTTGTGCATCACGCTTGTAAATTCTTTGAGAATTGGATTTTACCTATTTAATTGCTTTTCATGAATTGACCTTATGATGAACCCGAAGTAAGTACAAATATAAATTATTGATAATGAAATTACATGTATATTACTTGCATGGGAGATATATATACACACATGTATAATTGTATTATAATAATAGTACTTATACTGATATGGTTTGTTTCTGAGTTTCAGACTGCTAAAAATTTTATCTCCCTTAAATAAATGAAAATAAACAAAGTCACCTAGAGAAATATAATATACAGTTTCTATCTCATACGTCTTCTTTCCTCAGTTTAATTAACAATGTATTTCTGTCTGAATATTATTGAAATAAAGTTCCATGGAAGAATGTAAACAAAAATATTTACGGCAATAAACCTGACATATTTTAAAGAGGCTTTCGTGTGAATTCTAGATCCATGAGTTTTATCAGTAAGGTCAGGTCATATGTTCAGAGGAAGTCCTTGAGATTCGGTGACAATGCATACAATCTGTATTAATCTGGGACAGTGTTGATTTATTGTTCATTGATTTGATTTGTATATAAGTTTATTGTTTACATATATATATATATATACATTGAGAGTTTCACATGCCACAAATTTTCATAATTTTAGTTAATACAGTGTATAGGGAATTTGTGCAGTCAACATTATAACGGGCACCTGTTATCAATGTGATTTTGGCCCTGATCAGTAAAGGTTTAGTGTACTCTCTGTGTAATGCACAGTTTAGGCTGATCTGATGTTCTTTAAATAAATATTCAAGAGAAGGATGATCCAGGACCAAAAAAATAAGAAAAATCCTGGATATCAGGATTATACTTCTTATTTAAACAGCCAACTTTCACAACTATGCTGTAGTTTGGTGTCAGACTCAGTTTTGAACCATCAGTTCATACATAAACCTCTGTCATTGACTAGCTAAATCATGACAATTGGTGCAGGATGGTGCATTTGTGAAAATTAAGTATTTTCTTTGACTTATTTAAGTAGAGGGTTTTTTTTACTCCATATATTTTGAACTAAAAGTAAAACTTTTTCTGTCATAGAGCCTTGGAAAAACATTTCATGTACATGTACTTTGCTTCAACTGTCTAAAAAAGAGCTCTTTCAACAAGTGCTCTGAGAAAGAAAGAAAACGCAACAATTCTGCATTGGAGATTGTAATGTTGAAATACAGGAAATCGGATTGTTGTTAATTTTTTGACTTATTTGAAAATATTGCCAAATACTAATTATATAAGACTGACTAGAGAATGACAGAGAATGTAATTTAAGATGCCTTAAATTACTTACAACAATCTACTCTAGATACATTATTGGTTTATCCATAAGTTAACGTTAATTCATTTAACTGCATATTATTATTGATAAATGGATTAAATGCATAGAAGAATGAACTTGAGCTCATAAATTTAGTAATCATTAACTTCTTTTTTTCCCCCCATTGTAAGTTGTACATTCTACAAAAACCCATTCCAGAATGATGTAACTCATTAGCATTCATTCAATGTACTGTGGAATGTACACTTGTAATTATAATTATTCCAGTAATTCATGTTAATTGCCCAGTGTACTTTTAGCTAATCAGAACTTTTTTTTCTTTACAGGTATCGGGGCGTGGTCAGAATGTCATGTAAGTCATCATCTCAAAGCCTTAATAATAGAAACACAAGAATTTTATAGCATGTTGCCAATATTAGATTATTAGGATTAAAAATGGTAAAAAATTTAATTACCACCGTTTTAATTTTGTTTTAAAATTTACCCAAATTTTACGGATATTGTTTCATTTTTTTTATCGTAAACTTGAGCCTTAGAAAGGTTGATCCTTTAAATAGGGTGGCCCTAAGGCTCTGAGAAAAAAAGTATTGACCTATCTTCCAAAAATTATGGAAATACACTAGTTAAGAAACTCATTTTCTAAGACATTTAAAGAAAAAAATCAGTCAATGAAATACATGTATAGTAATTTTTTTTAACAGAACATCCACTGTAAAATGTGGAATATGTAGTCTTAGACTTAAAAAATGTAAATTAATACTAAACTTTAGATTTTTTTGGAAGTAGTATTAAGAAAATATGTATCATTTGTATGTGGTAAAATGGTATGCAAAACAGAAATCACTTTGGTCTCTTGAAAATCTGGATGTTGATAGGAAGCATGTGACAGTACTCCTCAAAACACAGGAAGAGGGAATTATATAAATATACTGTACTCTGGAAGGCTTTATGTGGGTTATATCACTTAGTATCAACTGCAGAAATTATAAATGATGGGAAAATTAAAATGTTGGGGAATCAAAATTATCCATTCAAAACATAATATTGACTTGATTGATTTCACTTTAAAGTTTCCTTGAAGTGAATACAAGTTTACAACCTGAATGGAATTAAACATTAAAGTCAGAATGGCAGATGGCACTTAAAATTCAGTGACATTTTTCCACATAAACTTTATGTATCAATCTCTGTGTATTTAATTGAACTAAAAATCAATATTCAACAGCTGGAACATTGATTTAAGATAAAATGTACTTATAAGGTACATTGATACTCTGATAAGAGAGATAACTCATAATGACACAAATGTCTAGTATTCCTTTATAAATTTGTCAAGTTTAAGTGCCTTTTTTGTAAAATTTTGCCACGCAATCCATGCTTTTATTAATTGTTTGTATTTTATTCAGTATATAATTTCCTTTGGAAAAGTTAAAGAAAATTTTCATATGAGTGAGCAGAGGGTTTATGAACCTCAATTTTTTTTTTACATTTAAAAGTATATGATTTGATATTTTTCAGCCAAATATACGGTATTCATACATGTATATATTTCATGAAGTGCTATATACATGTATTACAAACTTCGTGCAGTATCATGCAGAAAAGGGCATAAAGTCATACCTTCATAAACCTTCAAATCTGAATTCTGTAAAATTGCTATAGATTTCATAATTTATATAACAAGATTTAATTTGAAGGGAGAATTAAATATTAAATGAGAGGTACATGTGTAAAGCTTTGGCTATAGTAAGTGTTATTGTTAAGGTGTATATATAGCATAGCTGTTTATAAACTTATTTTTAAAAGAAATAATAATACGTAATATATTACAAATTTTATCTTATAAATTAAATTATATTGGAATGCAAAATTTACTACCATATTTCTAAATGAAACAATATGAAAGTGCAGTTCTTGGAAAGAGCATACTTATCAAGGAATATTTCTATTCTAGGTGTGAAGATGGGATGGAAACAGTGGAAATCACAGAAAATACAGTAAACCCAGGGCAGTTAAAAGTGGGACCCCAAGACTTCGAGCTTCTCAAAGTTCTAGGCAAAGGAGGTTATGGAAAGGTATGAGTGTCAGAACGAGAGCTGCAGGATTAAAGTCTGTTACAGAAAGACAATATAAGCAGCAAAGAAAGCAGCTATGATTTAACAAAGTTAATAAATGATTTGACTAGAAGCAAAACTGCAATCTGTGAATGAAATTAATTTACTTATGCTAGAATAATTGGATTAAGATGTAAATGATACATTATATGGAGGGGTTGATGGCCTCCAATCTGAGCATGTTTATTGTTTATAACTGAGAGGTGAGTGGCCTATTGATTTTTTTTCACTTTTGGCTTTAAGCCATTCTTGCTGCTGACGAACATGTAGGTAGGAGGAAAATTATGGCTGTTCATTATGAACAATCCTTCAGATTATAAGATACATACATTTAATAAAAAAAGATAAAATATCTCAGGAAAAAACATGGTTATTATTCTGAAATGGTAAAAAAATTCTGTGATTAAAGTTATACAGAAACAAAAGAAACAAAATTACAGTATATTGGGAAAAAAGATATGAATAAGCAAATAAATGCACCAAAATGAAAATGTTTTGAGGATATTATTGAGTGAGTTAGCAAGATTCACATTCCCTGACACCATGACTATTTTCTGAGGTGACGCTAATTGAAAAAGGGCTAGGCAAGAACAGAACATTAGACTTTTAGATAGGAATTTAAAGAGAATAATGTATAAAATCTTTTAAAGTCATGAATAGTAATATTTATGTGGAATTATTTCCAGTCAGTGTCGATTCAAGTTTGTTCAGATCATGACCCCTTCCCCTGTACCCCATGGGTAGGGTAGGACCACTTACATTTAAAAATTTTACAAAACTGAGTTGATTTCTTTTCTCCAGCCAAAGTGCTAAGGTGTGCATTGTGGCCCATGGGTCACTTTTAAACTGTTTTATTATATTAATAACAAGTTGAAGATAGAGGATGACAGAAAAAAGGAATCTGCTTTCAAAGCATTGATTAACATACTTGACTTATGCATGGTAAAAAGTAGAGCAGTTCATTCACAGCTATTTCTAGGAAAAGATTCCAATTTATGTAGCGAAAAATTAATAGAGATGAAAATACATTTTATAACAGATTGAAATCTACTTGATCTGACCCATTTTAATCTGTTTTGTCAGGTGTTCCAAGTACGAAAGATCTCAGGGGCTGATAATGGCAAGATATTTGCCATGAAAGTGTTGAAAAAGGTAAGAATGTCAAGGACTAGATAGTAAAAAAATATGCATAGATAAAGAGTACTTAAAATACATTATATCATTGAAACAAATGGATGGAAATTTTCAGAGAAGAAAGTTCCTGTGGTTTCCCAAAATAGCCTCATTTGGTCCTATATTTGGGTCAGCTTTACAAATATAAAGTATACTATTGACAGTTTATGCATCTAAAGTTTTGTTAAAAATACCCTCAGTTGGTCTTATATCAAAACTGTAAAGTGCATATGAAAAAAAAAATATAGGATAGTTTTATGCTTCAAGTTCATAAAAATCAAACGTGGGGATATACAGCAAAACTCGTTTAGTACGAACACGGATATTGCGAATTTACGGATATAGCGAAGTCATCTTGGATCCCCAGCTATATAAAATTAAGGAATTTCTTATACGGTTATAAAGGATTATGGATATAGTGAAGTAATTTCTGAGGTCCCTGTGACTTCGTTATAATCGAGTTTTGCTGTAATAATAATACAACTATACTGAAGAGGAATGGCCATTTTTTGCTAAATTGATAACTGTACTAAAATACATGTATTATTTTTGTAGGCCACAATTGCCAGAAATGCCAAAGATACTGCTCACACAAAAGCAGAACGCAATATTCTGGAATGTGTAAAGGTACCTTATTACCATATATTTATCTTGTTATACCAATGATTGTACCGTACAGCAGGTTATTTTAGCGGGGTGCTAATTTTGGCTTATTTTGGCATTTTGATAATAGTTCGCTAAAATTTTAATCTCTAAAATAGTCAGTACTCTTCTAAGTGCCCATCTGCAAGGAGCCGAAAGCCTGAGTCCGCTAAAATAAATTACGCCAAAATTATTAGTATACCTTTGAGCAGGCAAAACTCCAAATTTTACACTCGCCAAGAAAACCCGCTATACGGTATCACATCAAGTACTTGCATATAAAATGCCAAAATTCTCTACAAAAATTGAAACAAAGGAGATGGAAAGAAACTAGAGAAATTCCTTGTTCAAATTTAAGAAATTTGTGTTAAATTCAAATAGATAAAGAATCAAAACACAATTCAGTAGATTTTTTTGAACGATATACTGTAGATTAGCAAATAATCACGATGATTTTAATTTCGCTATGTTCGCGATTTATCATTTTTCCGTGATATTAAACCCATCTTGAATGTCATTTTTAGTTTTTAGAAACGTTTAAATGCTTATTAAAAAATTTTGAATTAACTTCTTGCATTGTGAAATTAAAACCATCGCGATTGGTACTTTTTGAGAAATCGTGACATTTTAACATCGTGGAATTAAAACGATTTACAGTATTATGTGCTACTTATTACTTTCTTATTCACAGCATATAAAATGATAATTTCTCTATATTGAAGCATCCCTTTATTGTGGACCTGATCTATGCATTCCAAACGGGGGGTAAGTTGTACCTGATCCTGGAGTACCTGCCGGGAGGGGAGCTGTTCATGCAGCTGGAGAGGGAGGGCATCTTCATGGAGGACACAGCCTGGTAAGAAAAAAGGCAAAAACTGTATACAGGAAAATTTTCGCCCCCCATTTTATTTTCACACCTTTCACCCTTACTTTGGATGGGCAAATTTCAAACGGGGCGAATTCAAAAAACAAAAGTGTGGGACGGGGCAAAATTGTTTGCCTGATTGAAAGAGCGAAAATAAAGCGGGGCGAAAATAACCCTGTATACAGTATATGTTCATTGTGTAGCCTGGCAGACATATGAGCCTACCTTGCCTGTAGTCTGTCCATCTGCTCAGTCATATGTCTGGGAAGGGTTTCACTTTCACAGAGAAAAAGAGAAATCTAGAAGTCTTTTATAACGAAAGATTAATTTCACTAAGATGCAAGCTGTCAACTATTATATGCAGTTTTAATGGTTATTAGAAGTCTTTTCTTTCTGGTAAAAATGCATTGTTGATAAATGTAACCAGATGACAAACCTACTGTCATGACATATTCAATACCTTATTACTGAAAAAAAATCTCACAAAATATATTTTATTGTTTAAGAAAATTTATATTCTCTTTCAGTTTCTACTTAGCAGAAATCACACTAGCAATAGAGCACTTACATTCTCAAGGCATTATATACCGAGATCTGAAACCCGAAAACATCCTTCTGGACAATACAGGTAAAATCATTGTTTTAAACATCCGTTGACTTGTATTGAAAAAAAAAAAAAAGAATAATTTCTATGCAAAATGAAATTTTTTATAATATTTTTCACAGTTCATTAACGTGTACATGTTGAAATTGAGAAAAAATGATTGTATTAGAGATTAGATATAAATTGTAGCTGATAATATTTATTTTAATCAGGACATGTAAAGCTGACAGATTTTGGCTTATGTAAGGAGTCGATAAATGAGGGAGGGTTAACCCATACCTTCTGTGGAACAATAGAATACATGTAAGTAAAAAATTTATTTTGAGTTTATTTACTGAATTTACACCTTTCTTAAATGTAAATCTGAGTTTAAATCAAATGCAAGCAAATCTAAATCAAAACTCCCTTGTATTTTATGTTGAAAATAAAATCAGTTTTAACAGAAACATTTCATATAAACTATATCTGTGCTAAGTAGCATTTCAATGATTTCAGGATAATAGTTCCAAACAGAAGTCAGAACAATGAATATAGACTGAATTAGACAGTATACATTAAAAGATGTTACAACTCACTGAACACAAATATTAATCAAATTTAAAAAAAAAAAAAAATTCGGTCTGCTTTTAAACAACTGTAACATATAAGGGGAGACTATATTCAATGCAAACATTACAAAAGGCTTAGATTCACAGAACCTAGATTTTTGAACTCGGTTCCCCAGTGAGACATAGGCTTAAAACTGGTTTAAGATTTGTCAGCTACTCTAAATAGTACACTAAACGTTTCAAAATGTGTGGTAGATATGCAACTTCATAGAAATTTTTAGAAGTAAGACTTAAATTTATATCGGTGCTATTTCACAAGTCCACAAAACTGAGTCAGAAATGTAAAGAAATTTTTAGTATATGCTAAAAATGAATTTTATTAAATTACCACATAGCATAAAGTGATTTTTAGCTCACCTCAACGAAGTTGGGGGAGCTTATGTAATACCCTCGGCGTCGGCGTTGGCGTCCCAGGTTAAGTTTTTTGGAGCAGTTTTCTTTTTAACTACTTCTATGTCCTATATGGATTAGACATGCATGGAGGATGGTTCTAGTGTGTTTCATTGCACCATTCAAAGTTTCAGATGCTGCAATTTCAGCAAAGGAATGACCAGGTTAATGTTTTTGGAGCAGGTTAACATTTTTGGTGCAGTTTTTGGTGTAGGTTTCATTTCCAAGTAACTATAAGCCCTATGTTGACCAAACTTGCATGGATGATACATCTAAGGATGCATACTATCGGGCTTGCTTCGGATGCTGAATCTGACCTACATTTTCCGGTTGAGTGAACAGGTTAAAGTTTTTGGTGCAGGTTTCATTTCCAAGTAACTATAGGACCTATGTTGACCAAACTTGCATGGATGATACATCTAAGGATGCATACTATTGGGCTTGCTTCGGATGCTGAATCTGACCTACTTTTCTGGTTGAGTGAACAGGTTAAAGTTTTTGGTGCAGGTTTCATTTCCAAGTAACTATAAGACCTATGTTGACCAAACTTGCATGGATGATACATCTAAGGATGCATACTATTGGGCTTGCTTCGGATGCTGAATCTGACCTACTTTTCCGGTTGAGTGAACAGGTTAAAGTTTTTGGTGCATGTTTCATTTCCAAGTAACTATAAGACCTGTGTTGACCAAACTTGCATGGATGATACATCTAAGGATGCATACTATCGGGCTTGCTTCGGATGCTGAATCTGACCTACATTTTCCGGTTGAGTGAACAGGTTAAAGTTTTTGGTGCATGTTTCATTTCCAAGTAACTATAAGCCCTATATTGACCAAACTTGCATGGATGATACATCTAAGGATGCATACTACCAGGCTTGCTTCGGTTGCTGAATCTGACCTACATTTTCTGGTTGAGTGAATAGGTTAAAGTTAATGCATGATTCATTTCCAAGTATCTATGATTCTTTAATGACCAAACTTGCATGGATAATGCATATAAGGATGCATACTACCAGGCTTGCTTCAGATGCTGAATCTGACCTACTTTTTGTGGATGAGTAAAAATGTTAGTTTTTGATGCATGTTTCATTTCCAATTAACTATGAGCCCTATAATGAGCAAACTTGCATGGACTATAAATCTTAGGATGCAAACTAATGGACTTGCTTCGGATGCTTTCGACATGCATTTTTCAGATAATAGACCAGGTAAAAGTTATGGGTGCAAGTCTAATACCAAAAAACTATAAGGCTTACATAACATTGTATAAACCAAACTTGCACAAACGTTGCATCAAGAGCTGAAAACTTTCAAATTTGCTTCAGATTCTGGATTTTGATTACATTTTCATGAAGAAGAACTAGTTTAAATTTTTTATGTAGGTCTATTCAAAGTATCAGATCAAAATTGCTTAAATATTTTCATTTTTGGAATGTACACTTTTTGTTGGTTAATTGTGTGACTTTGCCTTACTTAAAGACAACATTCGTTGAGGTGAGCTCTGTAATCTCTGATTACCTATGTTTACAAAATGTATTGGATTTAAAAAGTTCTTTATGTTCATTCACTAAAACTCCTCAATCTGATGTGTATTTTGTCCCTTTCTAGGGCCCCTGAGATCCTAACAAGGAGTGGTCACGGTAAGGCGGTGGATTGGTGGAGTCTGGGTGCACTCATGTACGACATGTTGACGGGAGCTGTAAGTTTGCCGATTGATTTTTTTTTTTTGCCATTTTATGTTTTATATTGTCTTTCTGATTACATGTTGTCTATGTGTGCAGCTTTTCAAAGTAAAGTTCTCTTCTTTTTTTTAGCCCCCATTCACTGCTGAGAATAGAAAGAAAACCATTGATAAGGTTAGTTGTATTGCTGCAATATCTGATATTGAAACTTACTCAGTAATAAGAAATACATGTACATTGTAAATATAAATTTGTTCTTGAACTTTCCATAATCAAGAATGAATACTTGCAATTGAATTTTACTGGTAAATGGGTTTCTGATTAGCAGTATTTAATTATTTTTATATATATATCGTTTTACAGATCTTGAAAGCCAAGCTAAGTCTCCCTCCTTATCTCACGAATGAAGCCAGAGGTCTCATTAAAAGGGTGTGTGCAGATCAAATACATAAGCTTTATATTAAATTTTCTCCAGAGGAATGCTCTTTAAATTCTATTATTTGCTACAATTTTACATTTTATTTTGAAACTTTTTTCAGTTGCTAAAGAAAAGTCCGCAGGAGAGGTTAGGGGGAGGTGTTGATGATTCCAAGCCAATCAAGGTATGTTGACCACTAAACATACATGTAAATGATAGATTTGTGTAAAAAACAAAAATTATTTACTCTATCTGGATACAATGAACTCAGAATGAAAGTGTTAACAAGCTCCAATGTTTTATAAACTTGTAAACCAAACAAGCAGTTGCATCAGAAATAACAAATAGCACTGGTTCATCTGAAATTTTACAATATGAATTCTGCATTATCTGAAATACTTCTGTAATAATTATTTTATATTTCAGCAACATGCCTTCTTCCGACACATAGATTGGAATGATCTTCACCAGCACAAAGTGGAGCCTCCATTTAAACCTTGTGTGGTGAGTGGATCTGGTTACTTATGAGGATATAAATTATATGTGTGATTGAAATAAGATTGTGTTGAATGCTTTCAGATTGATACAGCTCACAATGAAAACTGTGTTTATGTACAAGTGTTTGATGGTTATTTTCTCTATAAATAGACCAGTGAGGAGGATGTCAGTCAGTTTGACACCAAGTTTACCCGACAGACCCCTGTGGATTCTCCCGATGATTCTGTGCTCAGTGAAAGTGCCAATCAAGTATTCCTAGTAAGTGTGTCACTCTTACCTTCAACATTTACATGTACAGTGTCCACTGTAAGATGTCTAAAAGGCAATTGACTTTTATTATTTCCCCCACTGCTTTTTAAGGGGCATATCTAGTAAAAAAAAATTTCATCTGTACATCTGTGTATCTGTGATGCTTGGGGTAGCTTTCGCCTATCTGCCTTCCTATATCACTGAATAAAACTTGATAAACAATACATGTACTACTTAAATTTTTCAGGGTTTTACATATGTAGCTCCATCAGTTCTAGAAGAGCTGAACAAGCCATGGATTTCTGAGAAAGAGCCCCGATCTCCTCGTAAAGTGGGAACAAGTTTTAAGGCTTCCATGAGGTATTTTGTTTCTTACCGAGACAATTAAGCTTAGGGATAATTAGTTGATAATGTTGAGTTAGATATATGGGTACAGGATAAAAGGAAAACTCTTGAGTAAAAGTTGTAGCTGGATATTACTGTTATTTGGCATGTATGATATTTTGCAGAAATTTATTTTTCAAAAAGTTAGTGTAGATTTCATTCAGCACTTTCTTGATGTTCTTAACAAAAATATGTTTACACGAGACATTTAGCTGCTCTCCACAGAAAGTACTGAATAGAATACACAGTCAAATTTTATATATTGTCAGTATTTTATGATTTTGTTTGCTACATAGATATTAGGAAACAGTTTTATTAATGTTTAGGTAGAACTGAAATACAGCTAACTCTAATATTAGTAAATTACATCATAAACAAAATCTTGTTATCACAGGACTGTTAAATTCATTTTTGTTGCCTTGTGCTACATTTGTCAACTTTGGGTTATTTAAGATTTCAAGACTTTCTTATTATACTTTTCAGTCCCCATCAAATAAATCTAGTAGAGGGGTTCCGAGTAGCAGGGCAGGTCAATGGAATGGAGGATGTAGAGGTCATGGACACAACGACCACGACCATCCCCAAAAGATCCACCTCCCCCGCAATCGCCACCAAGAACACCACCTACAAGCAGGCCGCCTACCCCGGGAGCCAGAACCGACCCCCTCATCTAAGGATGAATTGACTAGGGGCCTTTTTTAGGAAAAAATTAGGATTTAATAAATAATTTTCTTACTTTAATGGTTTTTTTTTAATTGCAGGTTTATTGAAAACTGCTCTGGACTTACAATGTATATTTATTGAAGTGAATGGCTTGTGAAGTCAGGAATCTGTTTCTCAAGCTTGGTCATTGATGCATAGCTAAAATGTACCAAATTTTTATAGTGTTGTTCTTGTTATAATGATACACCTGTATTGTTAAAATGCGTGATAAGATGCTTGATTAGGTACATGTATTTAGAATTGTAAAGTTTATAAAATTACCAAATTTTCTTATTGTTGGTTTTGTTATAAGCATGTTTATAGTTAGTTACCAAGGATTGTAAATTTATAGAGGCCTTTTTTGTTCACTGACCAAATTGCAATACAAATCTTTGTATCAAGTACATTACCAAGAACTTTTGTGACCATTGTAATTACACATACATTTGTATTGAAAGCAAAAAGAGAACTTTGCCGCAGTAATCTTGATGTGTATAGTATTAAGAACATTCTAAATAGCACTCTTACTGTTGATTAATATCTGCGTATAATAGATTTGTACATGTATAAAGCATTGAAGCCATTGAAGCTGAATTGGAATTACACATGTAATTAAGATTTTCTCTATGAATTATGATTTAACAAAATTCTACTCTTTTAAAATATTTCGCATTTTTTCCCTAGTGATTAATTGAAGGGTAAATTTGTCCATTCTTAAGAGTAGTTGAAGATGAGTTTCCATTATTTAAAAAAAAGTGAAATATTAACTGTTTGAATTTTGTTTCCATTTAATTCCATGATTTCCATCTAATATAAAATGGCAACCAGACAGTGTATACTAAAGTGGCACTGTACACCGATATTAAGGATGATATTTTCTTGTCTTTTTCAGAGAATTCACGGACACAAAAATGATTTTATAATAACCTTTAATATGTGTCTTGGATTATTTTGTTGCTGTATATTCTAGAATTTGTTAGTATGCAGTCCCACTGTCACAGTATAGTGGAATAATGTCATAAATATGACTTTATTGAGTTAACCTTGTATTCACATGTACCACAATTTTAGATCTTTACTTCTATAATTTGCCATAATATGGCTGTAGAAATTGTTTTGAATTGCATTGGGTAGGTGTTCATCTTGAAGTCATTTCATATCAAGAGCAGTGGTTTGATTGTAGGCTTGCTGTGATAATTTGCTGCTGTTCAAAATTATACATGTAAGAATGATTTGATATGCACATTATACAGATCTAATTTGATGGAAAGCCAGGCCTTGATTTTTTTTTTGGAAGAGGAATGATCGCTGATTTAGGAATTTTTTCTGTATTCATGTTACATTCTGACTTGGGAATACATTTTGTACAAAATTCATAAATGACACACATTTTGATTGTCTTTCTGAAATGTATTGTAATTTAATGCTCTTGTTCGTAATGAATACTTTAACTGTTGTTTTTTCTAATATGAGAACCTAATGCATTAAAAATTCCTTGAGTTACTCTTTTTTTTTTCAAGAACAAATGCAATAATATCCTGATTTTGAAATGGTCAATTTTTATGTGTGACCTCCTGAAAGATGCCCACTGCCAGTATAGCAATTTAAAAAAAATCTATTCTTTCTATATTTTGTTGAATGTCCAAACAGTTTGTGTAGTAGATCTTTTGGCTGTGCCAAATAGGGACAATTACCAAGAAAACTAGACACCTTTTTTCATAAATTTTTTGTTTAATGTTTGACAAATTGTTTGAAGGATAATGCATGATTGGCCAGTTGTATTGTGTTCATGTAATTGGTGTTATTTATAGCACAACTTTGTTGAAAGTGTACAAAGTAGATTGGCCACATTGATACATACATTTGTATGAGCAGAAATAGTGAAGGTTTCTTAAGATATTTAGAGATTCTGTAGTTTATATTGATTTGTTTTCCCCTTACTTTTATTTTTTCTGCATCCCTTAGCAATTAACCCCCCCCCCAATCATCAGTACTATGTTTTATTGTTATTTTATTTCTGGGTGGGCACCAGTACCTGCTGGGCCTTTTATTTTTGTACAGCAGCTTCATCATAATCATTACTGCATAGTATGACATTTGTATAAAGAAAAATTCTATCAGGATATTTTTTCCTGCTTTTGTAAATACCTTAATCATGGTCTAATTGTTATAAATTTTGTCAGAGATAATTTTCTTGGTATACATTTCTCTTTTTTTTCCCCTTCAAATTTTCATTTTGTTGATCAAGGTAAAAGCTGTTCTTGGAATTGTTTTGCTATTGATACAACTATAAATCTCAAATAGTTCAAGTAATGATTCTATACATTTTTGAGAGACACGTAATAATATTTCAAATCAGAAAATTGGGTCATAATCATTACTTAGCATATCAATCCACACAATGCTTTTTGTAATAATTATTCTGTATAATGGTTGACAGAAAATACCTAAACGTGCACCAAGCACAATGTACATACAGTATTTAGTTAAAAGAGCACTACTGTGAAAATTGTATTTTACCTTTTTAGCAATGTTTACTTCAGAGAACTCCATTTTTGATAGTTAATGCAAATTCAATCAAAAATTCTATGATTTGTATGAGTCAGTGGAGTTGTTTTCTATTGCTAATGTAAATTGGCTTTATGCACTGCTGTTGGAAAGCATTCTTACTTTGTTGGATGAAAGAGGAGAAATCTAATTTATTGTATGAGAGTTTTAATTTTCTGATCATTTTATTTTCTGTAGCAGGTTATCCTCATTTTAAAAGAAAGTATCATTTTAAGAATTGATAATTAAAGCAATGAAATAAATCATGTGGAAATACATTGAGTTTACTTTTGTTTGTGTAAAATTGCATTGAATTTTTTTTTATTAATAAAATGAAATAAGCAGCTTTAAACTAAGGAACTACTGGTATCTATGCTGAAGTTTTATACACACTAACACAGATACCCATGTTTTATTGAACACTGTACTGCAGTAAGTGGGAACAAAGGTTTCTGCTTGTACTATAATTCTTGATTATGCAGACATGTATAAATGTTCATGTTGCAAGGGACAGATTAGTACATGTACTGTAAAACAACTTCTATTCGGGTGCAAGAAATATCTGCATGTTTTGTGACCTACTCTAATTTGTGAATATTTATTGATGTTAACCATTTATTTCATTTTATATTGATTGAGAATATTTCATTTATTGCAAAAAATAATCATCGCAGATTGATTTAAAACCGACAAATCACGAAAAAAAAGATGACACAAATAATTTTAAGGGCTAATCATTTATTTGCCATGCTTATTTTCCCAAAAATTTTAATATTGATCTTTCTATTGAAATTCACGTGAAATAATGAAGAATTGGCACAGAGTTTTGGTATATTTGAAAAAAAAATAATAATCTAAAACGATCACAAAATTTTGGATTATCATTCATGTAAAAGGGTGAAAAAAATAAGGTTGCCTTCGAAGTAGGAAGACAAGTGCCTTACATGTGTTGTATAGACCATAAAGGTCCCTTCCGTCCTTATCTAGGGGAGTGCTAACCGTCTCTCCTTTCTTACAACACGTCAGAATTGAGGTCTTGAATTGGCTTTATAAGCTCATGCTTAAAATATTTTTTTAAAATAGTGTAAAAGAAAAAAAATGCAAAATTTCTCAAATATTAAAAAATATTTCTTTTCATCGTTTTGTATTTTCATTCAAAAAATATAGTTTATAAATTCTCGTTTATCAAGTTTTTCAACAATCTTAAATATAATTAATAAACAGATCATTTTTTATTAAAATTATAAATAAAAAGGGACACTACTCTATATGTTACCGGAAGTTGGAAACCGAAACTAGACGTGAATGTCTATCCAGAGTTGTCTTCCGCTACGCTCACAACAATTCTGTCAACGCTTTGTGGCCTTGTATAAGATTTTTGTACAAAATTTAAATGGTGAAGATTCGAAATTTAAATAATAATCAATTATTGTAATTATCCATAAAGATGATAATTCATCATTAATATGAAATCTATAATCCCTCAAAACAACTTATTTTCAAAGTGTTGCGGAGTAAAAATTTTAATTGAAAAATCGTTTTAGGGTATAATAAATTTAAATTAAAAAATGTTTTCCGATGATAAATATAATTAAAAACTATTATTAATACAACTTTTAATCATTTACAATTTTTCCAAGAATCTTGTATAACAGGTGTATGTGGGAGCGAAGCAGGAATGACGGTTCGTGTAACACTTTTAAACAATTCAAATTTATAAAATGATTTTGAGTTTTAGAATGTTAATTAATATAGTTCAAATATCTTAATTTCAAAAACTCAAACTGATTTGGTAGATTGAAATTTAATGTTTTAGTTCAAATCTAAATTTTCAAATTTCCAAACAGGTTTTAAAATTTTAAATATTTTAGAATTTTACCTTAATTAAATGTATGGGATTCCATAAATATACCTGATATGTTTTAACTCTAACTTTTTTTTTATTAAATCTCAGGACAATTCTGAAATATATTTTAATCAGGAAACAAGCGGCTATATATGAATAAATAAATAAATCATATCAATAAATAAGCTATGTTAAAAAAAAAAAATAATAATCTTCGATACCAGCTAAATCCTAGATCGTAACAGTAACTTTCTAATTAGCCTGCATAGTACGTAACATAATTTTTAGAAAGGTGTAAATCAATTATGACGTTTAAGACTTCGACGTCATGAACAATTACGTGACGTCACAAAGGTTAAAACCGCGAATTTCGGGTAAAAAGATTTCGGCCGTAGTGAACACAGCAAGAAAAATGTCAATCAGAAGGAAGATTTTTTGTTTCGGTGGAGTGGATGCTCTTTTGGGCAGTGTTACAACTTATAGACTTGCGGATTACATATACTGGTAAATATCTGCGTGTCTAAAGTTTAATTTTAAGAACTTAGGTAAGGGAAATAAATGTTAACTTAAAGGTGATTTTCCATTTTAGTCGTGAACCCGACCCGTCATTCCTGGAGACAATTCTTCAAACTCTTGGTTTGCAAAAAGTCCCCGAACCTGTGTGTCCAACGTCCTATGGAGTCATACTGGTATGGTTTCTGTACTTTATTCCGATATGATAATTTAAGGACCTTTTCTACACCGGTGCAAAAAGTTTTTGGACATGAAAAAATATATTTTATAAAAGTGTTAATATTGAGCTTGTTTAATTAATTTTCACTATATGGTATGTGTCGATTTGTACCTGAAAGAAGTAAATTTTACATAGAAAACTTAAAAAGTATCAATATTTACAATTTCTGCGGTAGTTATTACCATATCCTATAATATACTATATGAATTTTCTAAATCGTGGCTTTGTTTCAGGTTGTTGTCGGGTGGATTGTCCTGCAAATAATTGTTGTACTTTTCTACAGAAAGAAAAGTGTTGTGAAGGTAAGTTTTTATCAAAATATTTTAGGATATTATGCGTGTATGCTAAATTTTTGTAACTCTATAAACTGTTAAAGGGAATATATAGTTATACATGTATATAACGACATGACCCAAACAGAAAAACCTGACATTAATTACGGAGCACATTTTGGTTAAAACTTTCATTTTTCATTCTCTGCAATTTCTATAGTTAGTTACAAATTCATTCATTTTCTTGATATCTAAAGTGTTACCATCGTTCTTAAAAGAAATTTAAGAGTTGTCTTTGTAAGGTACTTAAATGATCAATTTATTTATTTCAGGACACAATGGTTCAGACTGTACAAAATTTCATATCTGATACAAGCGATGTATCTGTTGCATTGCCAGTTGATGCCATTGGTGCCGCTGAAAATGTCAAGGCCAGTGTTTCAGAGGGAATAATTTTCTTCGATAAAGTTGCATCTGTAGACATTGGCAATGTGGAAAAGAATGCGATCGGAAAGTCAAGTGTTTCTGAGGGTACAGTTTTCTTCAATGAAATTGAATCTGTTGACATTCGCAGTGTGGAAGAGAATGCCATCGAAAATGTCACAGAGGGAAGGATTTTCTTCAATGAAATTGAACCTGAAGGCATTGACAGTGTGGAGAAGAATGCAACCGAAAGAACAAGTGTTACAAAGGGAACAGTTTTCTCGACTGAAATTGAATCTGTAGGCATTGGTAATGTGGAGGAGAAAGTGACTGAAGATCTCTCCTCTTTCTCTGATGACACGGCAGGGTACGCCTCAGATGATTGCAACACTGATACTGATTCGGAAGTTGAATCTGTATGGTTAGAATCGGAGAGAGAAACTTCAAATGCGTCTGCTAGCAATATCGTTACTAAGCATGATTCAGAAGAATCATCAGAGAAAGATTTAAACTTCATCCAAGAAAAAGATAATCCAACTGAGTGGATTCAGCCTGCAAACACAAAAGATGATGTGGAAGACATAAAAGATGAAGTATTGAATCCATTAGTTGCATTAGAGCAAAACGCCAATGTCTCGAGACGAGACATAGATGAAAATTTCGATGATAATGTTGATGATGTGGAGTATGCTTCAGATTTCGCCGAAGAAACCACAGAGTCTGATGACGAGGTCCTATGGATTCCATCGAAGACTACTGCAGATGAGGATAGTCTTAATCGAAATGATAAACCTGAATGGAGCCAAACTGATTTGCATTGTTTGCATATCGGATCTGTCAAGGAACACAGGGATACCTTAAAGGAGAGCGGGGAGGAAGTACCCATACGACCCGAAACTGTCAGCGTACTGCAAAAATTAGAGGAAGCTAGTGTCCATCTCTCTTTTCAAAATCCCACACAGAACAAACTGTCAGCTGTGCAAATGGAGGAGAAAGAAGATGGACCTGGAAGTTTTCATGGAATGAGAAGTGAATCTGATTTTGGATACACATCTGATCTATCTGAGGATGAAATGGCTCAGGCGTCAGGAGGTAGTGGTAGTGAAACTGATCCAGAGCTGGAAGCTATTTGGCTGTCTTCTCTTGAAGTTGATGCTAACACACGTTCATCCTCCACACCCAAGACAAATGTGGATGTATACAGACCCTCGATTCATGAAAATTTTTTCGACTCAAAAGGATATGGAATAGAAGACAAGGATACTGGTTATGGAGATGAGTTACAGCCATCATCAGCATTCTCTGAGAGTGGATCGAAATGCTCTGAATACTCCTCTTTCGGTGTCAATTCCAACATGAAAGAATCTTGGCGGCGAAATTGTACAGAGGATCTCGATCCCGATGATGAATACTTGGTGCATTATGAGAAATCGGATGATTTCGAAGATGAAACTGATGTGATGAATCAAGAACGAAGACTTCCAACATTAGCTGATGATTTTGAAGATCACTCAAGTGCACCAGTTGAGAGCTCTTCTCAAACTGATCCAAATATAGATCTGTTTAAGAACGTTCCAAAATGTGTCGGATGTGGAAGTTACTTTGCTACATGGAGAATTAGAAATTGTGAAGCTTGTCGCAAACCTCCTAAGCATCCTAATATATGCTCAAATAAGAAGAAGAAACTTCGTTGTAAATAAGATATATTTGGAATTCACAATTTTAAGATTCAACAACGTTTGTCATGGCCAAAAGCGTCGCAAATTGATTAAATACCAGTACATGTGCTTTAAATTAAAATGTATTATATGCTTGAGATCAAATCCTTGCTCTCCAATAAAAGATCCTTATGATTCAATAAACACGTTTATATTTGAAAATTGTGGCATACTTTTACTTTAAACAATTTTGCACCGAAGTTTGTGAGATTAGTAGTGAGAAGTATCACGAGATATAATATATGAATTTTATTTTGCAGAATTTCACAAGTGCTCCTCTCGCATT